CTAAGTACACTGAAGTAATTTTGACCAATGAAGTTTAATTGAAAACTATGATCAATGCTATAAAGCTCTAAAAGTAAAATTATGAAATACATTCTTTGGTAGTTTCACTAATTTTTGTTTGAATGGAGCCCACTGAGTATTTTCTTCCAGAAATTAACTAGAAGCATATCAAATGTTCTTAAACTACATTTTCAATTTTTTGAAAAGTTACAAAGGAAATCCCAGTTAACCATAACATTCACTTTGGTTACAGGCATACCTCAGAGATATTGTGTGTTCGGTTCCAGACCACCACAATAAAGTAAATATTGCAAAATAGTCATGAATTTTTTGTTTCCCATAAAAGTTATGTTTACACTATACTGTAATCTATAAAGTGTGCCATAGCATTATGTCTAAATAAATGTACATAATTTAAAAATACTTTATTGCTACAAAATGCTAGTGATCATCTGAGCCTTTAGCATAATCTTTTTGCTGGTGGAGGATCTTGCCTCAATGTTAATGGCTGCTGACTGATCAGGGTGGTGCTTGCTAAAGAATGAAGTGGCTGTGGCAATTTCTTAAAATAAGAGAACAAAACAGGTTAGCCACATCAATTGAATCTTCCTTTCATGAAATTTCTCTGTAGCATGTGATGCTATTTGATAGCATTTTACCCACCATAGAACAACTTTCAAAATTGGAGTTCTCTCAAACCATGCCACTACTTTATCAACTAAATTTATTTAATATTCTAAATCCCTTGGAAGGGCAGGGGGGATAAAGAGAAGTTGATCAATGGGCACAAATATACAGTTAGAAAAAATAAGACCTAAATGTTCAATAGCTCAGTAGGATAACTATAGTTTACAATAATGTACATTTCCGAATAGCTAGATGAGACTAATTCGAATGTTTTTAGCATAAAGAAAAATATTTAAAGTGATAGATATCCTAATTACTCTGATTAAATCTTTACACATTATACGGATATATCAGATTATATATACCCTTAAAATATGTACATCTATTATGTATCAATAAAAAAATATTTAAAATACTGTCATTTCAACAATGTTCACAGAATCTTCACCAGGAGTAGATTCCATCTCAAGAAGCTACTTTGCCCATCCACTAGAAGAACTTCTCATCCATTCAGATTTTATCATGAGATTGTAGTGATTTAGTCACATCTCCAGGCTGCACTTCTAATACTACTTCTCATGCTATTTCCACCACATCTGCAGTTACTTCAAGTGAAGTCTTGAACCCCTCAAAGTCATCCATGAGGTTGGAATCAGCATCTTCCAAACTCGGGTTAATGTTGGTATTTTGATCTCTTCCCCCAAATCCCCAGTGTTCTTAATGGCATCTAGAATGGTGGATCCTTTCCAGCAGGTTTTCAATTTACTTTTCTCAGGTCCATCAGAGAAACCACTATCTATGGCAGTTAACAGCCTTATGAAACCATAAGATTTGAAAGTTGGTATTACTTTTTAATCCATGGGCTGCAGAATGGATGTTGTGTTAGCAGGCATGAAAACATTAACGTCCTTTTGTACATCTCCATCAGAGCTCCTGGGTGACCATGTGCATTGTCAATGAGCAATAATATTTTGAAATGAATCTTTTTTTCTGAGCTGTCTCAACAATGTGGTAAATAGAGTAGTATTATCCAGGTTCTTGTTCCATTTATAAAGCAAAGGCAGAGTACATTTAACATAATTTTTAAGGGTCCAAGGATTTTTTAGAATGGTGTAAAGAGCACTGGCTTCAACTTAAAGTCACCAGCTGCATTAGCCCCTAACAAAAGAGTTGAAACTTTGCAGCCAGGCATTGACTTCTCCCATCTAGCTATGAAAGTCCTAGATGGCATCTTCTTCCAATATAAAGCTGTTTTGTCTACACTGAAAATTTGTTTAGTGTCGTCGCGTTATTAATGACCTCAGAGAGATCTGGATAACTTGCTGTAGCTTCTGCATTCAGCACTTGCTACTTCACCTTGCATTTTTATGTTATGGAGATGGTTTCTTTGCTTAAACCTCATCAACCAACCTCTGCTAGCTTCATACTTTTCTTTGGCAGCTTCCTCACCTCTCCCAGCTTACATAGAATTGAAGAGAGTTAGAGTCTTGCTCTGGATTAGGTTTTGGCTTAATGGAATGTTGTGACTGGTTTGACCTTCTCTCCAGACCACTAAAACTTTCTCCATATCAGCAATAAGCCTGTTTTGCTTTCTTATTCATGTGTTCACTAGAGTAGCACTTTTAATTTCTTTCAAGAACCTTTCCTTTATATTCAGAACTTGGCTGGCTGGTGCAAGAGGTGTAGCTTTCAGACTATCTCAGTCAGACTATCTTGGCTTTCAACATGTCTTCCTCACTAAGCTTAATCATTTCTAGCCTTTTTGAAGTAAGTGACATGAGACTCTTCCTTTCACTTTAACTCTTAGGAGCCATTGTAGGGTTATTAATTGGCCTAATTTCAATGTTATTGTGTCTCAGGGAATAGGGATGTCCAAGGAGAGGGAGGGAGACAGGAGGATGGCTGGTCAGTGGACCAGTCAGAACAATACAACATTAATTGATTAAGTTCACCTAAGTGCACCATCTTTTATGGGCATGGTTCATGGTGCCCCAGAATAATTACAATAGTAACATTAAAGACCACTGATCATAGATCACCAGATTCAGTAAAAATGAAAAAGTTTTAAATATTACAAGAATTGCCAATATGTGACAGACAGGAAGTAAGCACATGTGGTTGGAAAAATGGCACTGATAGATTTACTTGACACAGGGCTGCCACCAAACTTCAATTTGTAAAAAGTGCAGTAAAGTGGAATACAATAAAATGAAGTATACCTGTATTTGAGTTTTAACTATATCAAGAAGACTTTCATTCTGATTTGCCCTTTATGTCATAAACACCATTCCATATACTATATTTCCCTTGATTCTAAGATTCCATCAATTTTGGAGGCAATTTTAATTTTATAACATTTTTGGGGAAAAATAAAACCTATCATATTAGTAGGTAAACACAATACTTATTAGATTCATCCTAATTTGGAATGTAAAAATTAGGAAATATAGTATATAGAGATACTGGTCATTGAGGTTTGATTTTTTTTTTCCTAAAAGAGTTTATCTTTAAGAGAAATACAGGAATTGCAGAATATAAGGAATATAATAAGCACATTATTTTAGCCAATAGATCATATAAATAATGAGAAGATCTGCCCCTCCAAAATGTGAACAAGGAAATACTGTATAAAGAGATAATTCATTTAAAGTGGCTTTAAAATTATGCATACATAATGTTCTTGTTTTTTAAAAATATTTTAGGAATATAATAAATAGACATGTGAGACACATAGGCTGAGAAAAATAAGTCAAAGCCACCCCTCTGTATGTGTATACAGTGACATGGAAGGAAAAAAAGAATGAATTTGATGAAGAAATACTGGGTTTGCTTAAAACATCATTTAAAATATTCTTTAGCTCTTACCTCTTCCATTTTTTTGTTGTATGTGTCCTTGGCAGTTGCAACAGCTGCTAAATTATTAGCTTCTGCTGTGGCCTTTGGACAAAGTACAAAATATGATGTAAAATGCAGTTTATATTCAGTAAACTTCCACAGGCAGTTCATATTTCAAGCATCATGTGCAAGAAATGTGCAAGCAACCAAAGTCATCAAGTAATTTGAAACTCAAAATATCTCCACTACATTTTTTAAATTAGTAAAATTAAAATTTCAAAAGGCATACAACAGATTTTTACTCAATAAACCATCGTTCTTATTTTTTTTTAAAGATCCAAAGTCTTGCTCTGTTGTACAGGCTGGAGTACAGTGGTGCTATCATAGCTCACTGCAGTCTCAAACTCCCACCTCAGCCTTCCCAGTAGCTGGGATTTTAGGTGCATGCCACTATACCCAGAACTATTAAACCATAGAACTATTAAGCTATTAAACCATAGTTCTAAGATGCATTTTCATCTGGAAGATTTTTCCCCTAAAAAAATATATTTTAGCCTCATCAATTGCTGGGGAGGAAAAAAAATCTATAAACCCAAACTAAGGGGAAATAGTATATAGTGTATATTATGTTAATATATACTAGTATATAAATATATGTCTAAGTTTGAGGACTGCTGCTGATAGAACAATGTATCACTGATAACAAAAAAGAATAATCAAGAATTTAAATTGTAAACATATGTAAGGAAACAAGTTTTTCTTTTTATTTATTTATTTGAGATGGTGGTCTTGCTATGTTGCCCAGGCTGGACTTGAACTCCTGGGCTCAAGCAATCCTTCCATCTCAGCCTCCTGAGTAACTGGGATTACAGGTGCATGCCACCATGCCTATCTCCTTTTTAAAAAATGTTTAATTGTGGAGGCTACTTGTTTGAAACTTGAACCTGCTTTGCTACTTCTTATTACATGTGTGAATCTAAATCACAGTATGAATCTGTTTTCTAAACAAATCTAATAAAGAGAATGAAAACCCTTTGGTATGAAGTGTTTGTATCTCAACACAAGTAAAGCTGCTATGTGTTTATGTGGAAAAGGTTTAGAAGAATGCATAAATGGGTAAAGTTATTAGGCAAATCTTCCAATAAATAATTGTATCCAATATTTTTATTTGGTAATTCCTGATGGCCAGATTGGCATACATGTGAATACAAGCAGGAAAGCTTAGCTTAAGTGACAAGTAGTTTTAAAACTTCATGCCTCCTGATTCGTAAGTACCTGTAGCATGGATTTGGGATGTGGTAATTCTTCACCTTGATAGATCTTTATATAAGCCTAAAAAAAAAGGAAAAGATTCATGTTCAAGCAATTCCATTCAATATTTCTCTAATTCTATTAAATTGTATTCTAAGGTCTTGACATTTCAAAAAAAACTATTTTTAAGAACTTAAAACTGTTATCTTTTTCTTATACTTTAATTCCCTTCTTTCTTAGTTCATGTTATTTCCTTTTCCTGGAATGTTCTTTTCACACATCTCCACCTGCCAATTCTCCCCTTCTTAAAGGCTCAACTCAGTGCCATCCTCTTTAAAACTTTCTTAGGTCCCTCTGCTGGGAATAACCTCCATTTTTCAGTTACTCACAGGAATCTGTATCCTGCTGATGTCATAAGCTTTATGGAACAGAACTATGTGAGGGTCCTGAATCTCCTCCACAGTGTTACACACACTAAAAATTCAAATTTTAGGTAAATAACATGTCATTTATTGCTGAGAGTAATAAAGGTAAGTAGATCACATAGGAGGTAGATGACAGCATTTTAAATGACAAAATATGAATTTTAAAAATTGATATTTTAGTCCTTGGAGCATCAATCCACAAATCAGGTTGGTAACTGAAATTCTCTACTATATATGTAGGTTGGTAAAAAGTATTTGGTGCTGAGGTAAAGACGTAAATATAAATTTAAAATAATTCCACTTCAAATTGACCCTTGGTGCAGGGAGCAGGAAATGTGGAAGAATTTTCTTCAGTAAGAAGGTATAGTCCCTTTGAGGGGAAATCTTCAGAATGAAGGTAAAATTCGGTATAGATCATGAAACTTAGGTAACACCTTTTCCTCCAAAAGGCTTTTCCAACTCTTACATTTATATTTTAAAATATATTTCCCTCAAGATAAAAGGGGACATTAAAGTTACCTTTATGTAGTTTCCTTGAAAAATAATTTCAGAAAGTAAGCTTGAGTGTTTCATAAATTTAAAATCCTTTTTATAGATTCCTCATACATTTGCTCACATAGTACGAGTCTATAATTTTTGTTTGTAGGAACTACATTTCAATACATGTCTAGTCTAAGTACTCACAAATACTCTAGAAATGAGAATGATACCTTGAAGTACTCCACCAGACCTCGGCAGGTGATTTTATTCCCATTGATCTCTTTAATATCTAGGCTCTCAGGACTAAGTAGCCAGGGAATCAGTATTTTCAAGTTTTTGATGAATTCATCATCTATTTCTACAAGTAAAAGCAAATCCATCATTATTTTAAAAATCCTATCCAGTCCTCTATGCCATAGAATAAAACATCCTTTGATTTCCTTCATTTCGTCCCCAGGGATAATGCCATCACTCGCTTCTCCATCATTGAAACAAGTCCAGAAACCTCTTCTCAGGGTAAATGATTCTCCTTGCCAAAAATTCCACTGCTGGTCTCTCTTATTTCCATGCCAGTTTTATATTTACCTTATCTGCCACCTATAAAATAGCTTTCTTGATAGTAAATGTTATGCATATAGTTTATAGCTCATTTATATAAACATTTCATGTCTTTTAAGTCTTGTCTGTGGTTTGATATAGAGAAACTCATAAAAAAGGAAAAGTCTAGATATTTACTGTCTTATAATTCATTCCCTCCAGAAAATCTATCCCTAAATTGTTCTGTGTTTAGTGTGGGTATCTTATAAGAAGTGTTTAGAATTGGATAAACTGTGGTAACTTGGACTCTAGAATTCAAAAAGATAGTGACGATGATGCTACCTCTAGTGGTGGAACTCAGCAACACAAAATAACACAGCAAACAAAAGCCATAGGAAGGGTGTTCAGAGGTAAGTCTGAGTTATGTACCTGTCATGTTTGGTATAACCCACAGTGTAGCAGTAGGTTCAAGCTTAACATTACATAAATACAGAAAATCATATCATCAGAGAAATCTTTTAACACAATGATAATTTCTTAAATCATTATTTTAAATATATGGAAAAATACACATACTATGTTTTAATATAAAAAGCAAGATATGTCCCTGACCTGCTAGGTTTCTAAGTACATGCAGTAATTGTCTGTAATTTTGAAGAATCTTGATTTCAGCAAAGTCACTGAGTTTTCAGGCTTCAGGGCTGGTGATTTTCAAGGTCTTAAAGATTCAAACCTTAAGATTGTGTTTGCATTTTCCCTGTTATTATAGCCCCAATGTAGATTGAAATACTGGTTTATGTTAGAATTTATGTTTTCTTCACTTCTTTTGTGACATGTGTGAACATGATGCTGGACATCCTTTAAATTTACTTTGTTTTATGTTTTGTATCACTTTGAAATTCTAGTGAACATGATTTATGGTACCTACATAAAGAGTTTATACATAAACTCTTATGTATAAGAGTTTATTCAAATTTATTTTGGTGTTTGCATTGTACCAATTTTCGCTTGTAATTTTGCTTTTGCTACATATAGATTTATTCAAATGTATTTTTTATGGTTTGCTTTTTAGGTATCAGTATTGGAATATAACACTGGTATTTGTATTTATGTTACCACATTCCTGTTTAGTGTTTTGTTGCCTGCAGTGTCTCTGTATTCACCAATACCAATGGGTTTCTTTTTCTGTATATGATTTTATGCTTCTTTTCAGCTTTAGTAGAATATTACTATATGTCTAGTATGTAGGAATTCTTCCTGAATTTCTGCATAAAACAAAGTTTTTTCCTTATAAAACCACTTTCTTCCCCCCAAATTTCCTTATAAAATTGGAATGAAATAAGACATACCTGTGTATTTAATGTACCAGCAAGTGTAGTATCATTAAAATAACCAGCAAATAACCACACATTTGGATTAAAAATATGTTCTGAAGATGGCATTATCCATTATTGTTCTCATTAAGACCAATGCTAGGTTTTCCAATTTGGGGTTCAGAAAATAAAGAGAAATATATTCGTAACATACATAGGTGGTGAGCTCTTGTTAATAGTAGTTGAACATGGTAAATACATGACCCAGAACATCTGCAGACCACTTCAGATCAATTTGCAGAGGCATATTAATAAGCTTTGGCACACTTGCAAGTATTCAATAAGTACGTGTGGATAGATGATGATTCCAAATGATGTTCTATTTTCATCATTTCTTCAGTAATTTTTGCCACAAGAGTAAACTCTTACAAGGTCTTTAGGGGCTTGGCCAAAGTGGTGGTGACCTGCTATAATAATTGAGGAAATGATGTATGCTTTATAAGAACTCCACAGGGAGATGCACCAGTGTAGTACTGCTGTATAAATTAACTAAGGGAGATATTTTCTCAGGATTTCCTGACTCTGCCAAGCTATTAGAAACATGTTCTTAAAAATAATCACCTTGCAATGGCATTTTGCTTTGCCAATAGCAAAATGGCATTTTGCTATTCTGAAGTCTAACTGCAGCTGTTAAGGAACAGCTCTATAAATTATGATATGGTTACCAGGTCATTCTCCATATAGTATTATAATTCAGAGCAATCTCAAAAAAAATAACTCCTTATTAATTAAAAGATTGTATTTGCTATGTTAGGGCAGGTATTCAGTAGATACCCAGTAAGAACTGGTTGAATGTAGGTAGCATGAATGAATATGTTTCAATGCTTTTGATCCTTTTTGATTTCCTATGTGAGAAGCTCTTAAATTAATAGTAATTAAATTTAATCATAGTATTATAGGTTTTTAATAACACTGGAAATAGTAACACTTGCAATACTGTGAGGGACCATAAACATGTAATTATAACAAGTATTACTATTGATAATGAGCTAGAAAGCTATTTCTGTAAATGCATGAAACAGTATGTGAGAAACTATTATCAAAGAACAATTTTTGTACAATTGTTTATTCAGAGACATTTCTTCCCCAGAGGCAACAACTCAGATGCCAGCCCACTGGAAAAGAGCATAGATGGCTGACAAGTAGATCCCCAGTAGAAATCACATCAAATTATAAGACTCAGGGTGGGATGGAAAAATAATGTAGATAGCAGACTTTCAAAACTGCTCAAAGCAACAGTGAGGCAAAGTAGACCATTTCTGCACACAAGAAGGACTTTGCAACTATCCCTTAAAAGTATAAAAGCCTCATTAAGATGGAGCTTTTATGGCAACTGAAGCTTCCCTTCACTTTTCTTTCTCCCAGGCTAGCCACTTTGGTAACTCATAACTTACAGGTAGCTGTAAACCAATTGTGTAGGTCAGTATATTTGTAGACAGTGAATAAAATACAATGGAGAACAAATCTGTTGAAAAGTGCAATTCCATATTTGCATGATTTATCTTAAGCTCTCTCCCTGAGCTCTTTCATTACAAAATGTATCAGTTAATTTAAGAACTGTGGCTGTATACTATAGTAATGGAACAAGCCAAAGTACTTTTTTATCTCAATAAAGGACTGTTGTTGAAGGCCTGCCCCTCCTCTGCCTGTTTATGGCTCCCAATTGCAGAAAAGAAAGAAAGGCTTTGTGGAAACCCTCTCTTTATGTAATTTATTCAAAACACATTGAAGCCATTAGGTAATTGCACAATATCAAGAGATCTGTGTGTCCACTAGTAGGTTGGAATTCATAAGTATGACAGTGAAATTATAGGATCCTGGCATACAGGATCCTATAATTATGTGCTTACTGATATCTATTCTGTTGTATTAATATAAAGGTAAGATAATTTAAAATGTGCATAAAAGCATTGCTGATGTTTGAGAAATATGAGACTATTTATGGTACTACCTGCCAAAATTAAATATAAGGTGTCTGAGAATAAATGCCATGGATACAGGAAGAAAAATAATACTTTTGCTTTTCAAATTCACATTTCATAAAACTGGATACAAGTTATGTTATTCTTTTTAAAAAGTAATTTTAAATCCCTCTGACAACAGTTGTGCTGAAAAGCTTGTAATGTCACTGTCCACCCCTGGTATAATACAGAAAGGCCATAGTAAATTAAACAAAAATGGTATACTCAGTGCTAGGCTTATAAGTAAAAAAGTCAGAAATGTCTTTGTATTACCTTGTATTAAATAGGAAGCATATGTCTAAAGACCTGGTGACTATCTATTAGGGAAGATTAACTTCTGTTTCCCCAACTCCCATCTCTACCCCAACCTTTTTTAATTTTTTTATTTTGAATCATGTAATAGTCAAGCCTCTGTTAAAGAGATAATTACATACGATAAGTACATTTTACTTGAAAAACACTTTAGTGCTTTTTGATTTTTTCAGAAACTGGTCCTCATTCAGAGAGGATTTCATTTTTAACAATGCTTTTAATAATTTATAATTAAACTCTTCAGTAGCAATTTTATTTATTTATTTATTTAGAGACAGAGTCTCACTCTGTTGCCCTGAGTGCTGTGGCATCAGCCTAGTTCACAACAACCTCAAATTCCTGGGCTCAAGGGATCCTCTTGCCTCAGCCTCCCAAGTAACTGGGACTACAGGCACACACCACAATGCCTGGCTAATTTTTATATTTTTAGAAGAGACAGGGTCTCACTCTTGCTCAGGCTGGTCTTGAATTCCTGAGTTCAAGTGATCCTCCTGCTTTGGCCTCCCAAAGAGCTAGGATTACAGGTGTGAGCCACCTTGCCCAGCCGAATAGCAATTTTAAAGACCTGAATTCACTACTATGCAATGTTTCTTTCAAGCTCTAATTACGTAAGTTAATACAACATTCCAATACTACAGGTATCTATTTTCCCCCCTTATGTAGATAAGGCAAATTAAGTATAAAGACATTAAGAAACATTTCTCAATGCACAGAGATGAGAGCATTAGGGTTGTGCCCTCCCAGGTGAAGGCAGGATTTGCCCTATTTCCCAGGCAGTGCACACATTCGGTGCCCACAGAACCCCCCTGCTCACTGAGGAGGAGCTCCAGCACCAGCCAGCATTCCCAATTCTCACATAAGTGGATAAACTGAACTATCAGCCATAAGCCCAGTGGATAAAATGACACTTTTATAATCAGACTAAATGATGTAAACATTCATTAAAAGACAGACAAACCTTTCAGTTTTCCATCAAAGTTTGGGTTGGTAGCTACTTTTAAGCCAGGATGAGGTAGCAGAAAACAGGAAATGTTGGTGAAACAGGAATGGATGTGTTTTCGAACATTCTGTAGTTCTTCATGCTGGTTCCCTGAGACCTACAGTAAACAATTCTTAAGTTTAAGCTACTTTCAACATAAATCAAACAAAGGAATTCTGTGGGATCTTATATTTGCTATGTCTGTTTGGTCCCACAGTGATAAAAACGACATGACAGGGCTACTACTAAGGAAAGAAGAAAGTCTTAGGTGAATTCGCCCACACAGCCATATCTAAGTAGCGGGGCAAACATGTGGCTTAGTTATTACAATTAACAAGTGTTTGCCCTTATGCTAACTCAGATGGGCCTTCTCATTTTTTAATACAAATTAGTGGGGTTTTTACTCTAGCTAGTTCATACAAATTCAAATTTTAACTCAAAGTACTCATAAGAGACACAAATCATAATATATTCCTACCTTCTTTTCAGGAGATACTCAAGACAACCTCCTGTCACCAGGTAAGCATACATTTGCATTCTAGAAGGACATCTGAATAGTTGAGTGTTTACTTACAGGCTAAACTGTTTGCCTCTCCTCACCCTCCCTTTTTTAAAACATGTATTTGGCAGTTTGTAGCACAAACTACCCTAAAAGTAATTATAAACCTAATAGGGTGAGCTCAGAGATCCTAATTTTCAAGGAGCTTTTTAAAAATTTTTGGTTTTTCCCCCTGATTTATTAGTATGTATTTTTGTGATATCTGCTCAATGTAAACAATTCATATAATATTGAACTATCATGATGTAGAGAGTGGACGGCCTTCTGATTTTACTTTCTGTGAACTACCAGCAAAATGTTCTAAGATGAACTTTGGGGATTTCAAAATTAGATATTTCTATTAAATTGACTTTTAAACCTCTACTAAAACATGAATCTTAATATTTGTACTGTCAGTCTTGAAATTATTTAATCTTCAAAGTAAAAATTATATCTTTAGGAATAACTTATTGTTTTATAGCTATTTATAAATAATTCTTTTTATATCATAATTATTGATATTTAAAATTGTAACTCTAGAAGTAGTTTAGTCATAGCGATACTATTAGAGTCAAATGAGACTGTGCCTACTGAGTATCGAATCAGCAAATCATACAACAAAAATAATTCTAGATTATTGGTGAAATTTCATGCCCCTAAATATCTAACAAACCTTGAGGCGTTTTTCCAAGAATTTGGCGCCACCATCAGCTCCATATGAAAACTCGTATGGGAAACTCCAGTCTCGAACAAGAAATATCAGACTCTAAAAAACAATAAGAAAGGATTGATAAGGGGACATTCAGGTGCCTCCCTCTGCTTTTCATTGAAGCCAATTATAATATCATTGCCATTTGATTAGTGTTTTTTACTATTAATGCATTATGGAATTAAAAAGCAAACAAAAGCTTTCAGTTTCTGAGTGGTCCCTCCCCTATAATGTCATCCTATATGTTGCCACTAAGTGTGAACAGAAGGCTGCCTACAAAATGCTAGGATGAATGCACCCTACTGAGAGATGAGACTTAGAGATGGCCCTCAAACTGGCTGAATGGAACTATGTAATTATAACCAGACTTTGTGTAGAACATGTTTTTATGAGTCTTCCTGTTTGATGGCTGTGAATGTAGGTATAAGATACAAGATCACCTTTTTTTTTTTAAAGAAATTATTTTAATGTTTTTATACAAATGATACATAAACACACTCATCATAAAATGTTCAAACTACTAGATAGCAAAGGCCAGAGGAAAAAAAATTTAAATATACCCCAAATCCCATCTCTTAGATTTAACCATAGTTAATATTTGATGAACACGATCCAGTCATTTCCCTAAGAATATACACAAATGGAGGAGGACTGGAGGGAAGAAAAAAGGAGAAAAATAATTTCATAGAGAGTGAAACTGTTTTATATGTGGTATTTTAAATAAAAAATATTAAATTAAAATATTCTTAGAATTAACTGACTAAAAGGAAAATGAGATGACATTTAAAACATTGCTAAATTTCAAGTAAATCATTTTTCACCATTACAAGTTCCAACAAATTCTTTTGAAGTTACAAAAAAAGATTTTGAAAAACATTGAGCTGAGAGTCAAATATTCAGCCTTTTGAATATTTTACTTGCCTGTTCCAAGACTGTTCTAATGTTTCATTACACTAGTAAAATGGCTCAATCCTTGTGGTGTTGCAGTTTTCACATACTTAGTATTTTTTTTAATTCTTGTTTAAATAGAGTTCTGTATAAGAAACTACTAATGATATCTTGAAATTATTCTGTATGGAAATATATTTAGAAAAGTAGTTTCTGAGCCACTGTTGTATACTTGGTAAGCTTTTTGTGTAAAAAATAGTTCACTCTTGAGTGTGCGAGTCCATTTGCAAAGAATTTCAATTATTCTTTAACATTAGAGTACATCATAATTGTAGACATTTTAAACATCTGTCGGTGGAGACTACTAACTACACAAAGAAGGCATGTTAGCCCTTCAGATTGAAAATGTATGTGACACTTTGGAGAACTGAAGTTAGTTAGATTCACAACCATTCAAAATATTGGCAGCTGATCACATTTACCTCTAATAAAATTAATGTATAAGTAAAAAAAAAAAAGGTTTACTTTTTAAATTTTTAAGTCATACACAAAACTGAACATATAATAAGTATATGGCTTAACAAATTTTCATAAACTGAACACACCATGTAACCAGCACCTAGATTAAGAGAGAGAGAATGTCCAGCATGCCACAAGCCCCTATTCCTGTTATCTTCTAGTCATCACTCCTTGCCCAAGGGTAACCACTAGCCTGACTTCCAACTAATCTAACCATAGGTTAGTTTTGCCTGTTTTTATAATTTATATAAGTAAAATCACACATGATGTATTGTTTTGGTCTGGCTTTTTCAGTCAACATTACTTTTGTGAGATTCATCATATTATTGCATTATTGCTTTTCATGCAGTCATTACTGCACAAATTTCCATTATGTGAATAATCATTCATTCTACTGTAGATGGGCATTTCAGTGTTTCTAGTTTTTGGCTAGTATGAATAGTGCTGCTGTGAAAATTCATGAGTCTTTTGGTTAACATATGTACACATTTCCTTTGGGTTTATACCTAGAAGCAGAATTACTGGGTAATAGAGTATGCATATGTTCAGGATCTGTTGATACTCTCAGTTTTCCAAAGTGCTGTACCAATTTATAGTCTTACCAGCAGTGTTAGAGGGCTCCTGATGTGTAACACCCTCTCCAACACTTGGTATTTTCTTTTAATTTTAACCATTCCAGAGGGTGGGGGTTAGTAGTCCATTGTGGTTTCAATATGCATTTCCCTGATGACTAATGAAACGGAGCACCCATATATGTTCATTGGCCCTTTGTGTTCATTTTCTTTTGTGAAGGGCCTGATCAGGTCTTTTGTCAGTGTTTCTATTGGTTGTCTATGTTTCCTTATTGTTTTGGAGTCATGATTTTTAAATATATGTTTTGCTTTTAACTCCCTGCAATGAGAAATTAGCATTCTTAAACTTTGTCTTACCACTCTTCCCTTCCAACTGCTATTTTTTTGTTGTTGTTGTCGTAACTTTGAAATAAAACCAATAGCAGTTTAACTGTTTAAAATATATTAGCATTGAAAGATATTGCAAATGCATGTGAAATTGTAAGAGAATTTATATACATGCTACTGCTAAGTGCTCCCATATTATCCTGAACTTCCCTTATTGTAATACTTAATACTAGAATTTGATGGACATATTTCAGCTGAAAGTAATGAAATCCAATTCCAACAGGCTTAAGCTAAAAATCAGAGAATTTATTATCGGTTTCATAACTGGAAAGTTTAGTGGTATAGTTGATTTCAGTAGGACTCAGAACACTTAAATGACATCACGAAGGCTCTTTCTCCAATCAGTCCTCTCTATGTTATGGCCAAGATCACCACTGAGATCCAGATTCATGTTCTGACAGTTAAGCAACACCAGTGTGAATCAATTTTTCATGATAACTATGCCAGGAAATTTCCAGGGACTGGCCCATCTTAGATCACATCCCCAGTCTAGAAATAATCACTGTAGTCAGACGATGGGATGGTCTGAATTGGTAAGGTGTAAATGGCATCAGATACACCCGAACCAAAGGGAATAGATTCCCTACTGGAAAGAGGAGTTCTGCTAGAAGAAGGTGAGTATTGAGAACTAGACAGGAAAAAAAAAGATATTGACATCAGTACTATAATTTTATAGATTATTAATTATAGATGGTAAGCCTTCTAAAGTCAAAACTTAATCAAATTCTAGCTCATTATAGTATCTTTAGGACCTAGTACAATGCCTGGTACAAAATCAGTGCTTATAACAGATTTGTTGATAAATCTTTTCCTAATTTTTTAGTTATCAGTTTTATAATGTCAAGGTTTAAAATATTTAATATTGATTTAATATTTCTCTGCTCTGTATTCATAATACTCAAAGTCATTTGGTTTTAGTTTTGTATCTAATTGGATTCAGTGCATTAAAAATCCTTTTGCTGCTAACTTCTCCATACCTGAGCTTTTACTTTGAATAAAATATAAGTTGGCTGAATTTTGCCATACAGTTTTTCAAGAATAGAGTGCTGTATTTCCTGAGTACTCACATTCTCTAGAATATTTTGTTGCCTTTATAGTTAATGGACAAATTGGCTGGATATAAAATTCTGGAGGTGACTCTTTCAAAACTTTGTCAATTATCATTCATCTGTCTTTTCCCATGAAATGTTATTAATACTATGGAAAATTCTGTGTGGACTTTCTGTCCTTAAAAGTTCCATAACTTTACTAAGTATATTCTCATAGTGACTGGAACAGTTTTACCTATGGATATAGTATGAGGATGCAAGTTTTCTTGAAGCAAGTTTTCTTCTATCATCTCTTTTAATATTTTTCCTTTATTAGCTCTATTATTTTCTCATTTGTTCCATTCTTTTGTTCAGGGGCTCTCATTATGCACATGTGGTATACAAGGAGGTGACAATCCATGTTTTGTGAGGCCTGTAGCCTACACAACATGTGGGTCAGGGTGGGGCAAGGGAGAAGCCCCTATAAGAAAAAGAATGCAGGCTGGGTGCAGTGGCTCGGGGGGGGGGAGATCCTAAATCTATCGAAATAAGTTTTAAAAAAGAGTTTTGGCCCTTTATAACCTGAAAGTCAATTTTGAATATAAAATCCTTGATTACATCTTCTTTCCTTAAACAGGGCCACTTCAAGGTGTGGTGATTATGGACATTCTTTGTTTCACTAAGATGGAGCCTTTCCTCCCCTTTTTTGTTCTGTAGATTCTGTGGAGAGAGGGAGATTCTTGTGGAAAGGAGAATTTTAAAAATATTCATATTTACTATCTTCAAATAATCTACTAACTTAAAAAATATGCTCATTTTTGTCACAATTTGTCAAAATCAAATATAAAATTTATATTTGGAAATTTTCTACTTAAAAC